CACACCCAATGACACTGTTTCCTAAGCCACAGCCTAGTTAAGAACTTGAAAGTTTTCCAGCTCTGAAAATATTGTCATTCCTCCCACTATCTCCTAGGTTAACGACACTATACTGTAATTTAACATTTTATTTTATGAAATAACACCAAATGTAGACATCAGCTGAAAATAATTAGCTCTTTTGTAGATTGTCTGCATTTCTCTCACCTCTCTTTCTCTCTGTTAGTGCTCCAACTTTGCTGGTGCCCTAAAGAAACGCTCTGTCTGACTGTTGGGTATTTTATCACTGCCCTCCATACAAATATGACTCTGCTGTTGTTCAACAGTTTACCTCTGGCTGGAAGGTCTGTCCTCCTCTTTATCCATTTAACTCTTCTTGTCCTTCAAGTTTATGCTCAAATGTAACTGCCTTTATAAAGCTTTCCCTGACTCCCCCAGGAGTATTGATTGCTCAGCCTTTGGGAGTGAACCTCTGTGACAGCACATGTTCCACTGTGTTATAGAAATTATCTGTGTGTCTGGCCTCCCTGCTCATTTCCCCATGCTATATCCTAAAATCCTCACCATTATCATATAATATTAAGTACTGAGATCCCCATTTTACAGATGAGTAAACTGGAGGGTCTGTCATCCACCTCACACAACCTCTTATTAAGATCTCATATGAGGGGCTGGCCCCGTGGCCGAGTGGTTAAGTTCACGCACTCCGCTGCAGGCGGCCCAGTGTTTCATTGGTTCGAATCCTGGGCGCAGACATGGCACTGCTCATCAGGCCACGCTGAGACAGCGTCCCACATGCCACAACTAGAAGGACCCACAACCAAGAATATACAACTATGTACTGGGGGGCTTTGGGGAGAAAAAGGAAAAAATAAAAAAAAAAATCTTAAAATAAAAAGATCTCATATGAAATGAATGCAATTAATTTATAAAAGACTAAGAGCTAAATAACTGGAAAGCAATACTATTTTTTATACATTAGTCTTTTGTGGTAACAAGTGTTTATATTTTCTTTTTGCCAATAGTAGAGGGAATTTATTATTTCTCCATAAAGAAATCCTTTTAATGTTAATTAAAATAAAATTTTAAGAATGCTGCTATATACTCAGGTGCAATGCAAATAATGAGGATGGTCTGCCCCACTCATTTCAGGTTACTCCCTTCTCCCCTGAGGGGAAGCCAGGGCTCTGGTCTCTCGAGGTGAAAACCTAACACGTTTCCTGGTTGCGCCATTTTCTCCCCTGTCTCTGATGCTTTATTTTTCTCACTCTCATTAGTCTTATGGAAGTTTTTAGTAGAGCTCAGCACCATCTTATCCCAAGAAGAAAAAGACTGTTGGAAATAAATGTATGATGAGTGGTGCAAAACAACAACAGTAACAATCTTTTAAATTTATTATGAAGGCAACGAACATTGCCCACGGAGTTTTATCTCTGGCAGTTCAAAAAACAAGGGTTTCTAGCAAAACAAATAAGACCAGTTTTCTTCCTCTGGGCCTTATGTCTGCTTTATTGCTAGCAAGTCTTTCAACTTAACCATCTCCCAGCCAAGCTCTTCCTTTTCCTTAGTTAGCAAGGGGAGTTTTCATTAGCTATTTTATGAGTTATTTGTTAGTGGTCCTCGTTAGCTTTGCCATGGTCTTAAATTTGCTTGACATTTACTATCTTACCGTATAAGATTTTATGGTTAATTCTCAGCTAGGCTTCTGGTCCTTACATTTTTTACAATGTATGTTTTCACATTTTGCAGAATCTTCTGCATCTTTTAAAAATAATTTTATGTAAATGACTGTCATGTAATTTATCAGGCTTCCTCAAATCCTTATACATATAAATAAGAAAAACTAAATAAATATACATCACTCACTTAATGGTAGATCGTTCAAGAAATAGAAAAGTATTATATTAAGGTTTCATGTTTCTGCAGAATAAAAGAATTTAATTAATATCATAATTTGGCTTTATAGCCAAACTCTGCTATTTTTCATTCTACTCTTATTGAGCACATATGCTCAAAGTATTGTCCAGGAGCAGGGAATAAAGTAATGTTTCTGCTTACAAGTCACTGGACTGTGTAGTGAAAAAGAATTATAACAAATCCAATTATTTCACAGATTTAGATATGTTTTATTTCAAAGTGTGTTATTCTCCCTTTGTTCCACACTTTAAAACAACTCAAAAGAGAAGGCCATTATCCATGCAATAATATTCTTTTTTTCATTTTGTGTTTAACCACATGTATTCCTATTTTGTTATTGATTCCATGGTTATAACGGCCTAAAATTTGCCAGGTGTTAGGGACACATCGACAAACAATACAGCAAAGGTTCGTTATATTCAGATGAAAAAGGAAATTTAATAAATGTAAAAAATGTAAAAGGTAAGTAAATAACTAATTTCAAGTAGTGAGTCCTGTTCTTTCAACGATTATTTTTTGAGTACCTACTCTGTGCTAAATACTGATCCATAAAGTAAATCACATAGAGTGATAGGAGGTTCAGGGCCAGGGGAGCTGTCTTATGTTAGCTGTTCTAGGAAGGCCACTCTAAGAAGACGACATTTGAACTGAGACCTAAATGACAAGTAGAAGCAGAAGAGCTTCTTAACCTGGGTCCTGGGAGTCTGTGGATAGAATTCAGGAGATTGATGGGAAAGTCGGATGGGAAAAATAGTAACATCTCTATTTGCATTAAACTCACACTGAAAGTTAGCATTTTCTTTCATCTGAAGGTAGGCAACAAACCTCAGTAGTATTAGCAGCAGCTGTTACTTTGTGACTAATATTTTCATATCACATCTCAGTTCTTGCAGGTATTTTGAAATATCATCATTGCTTTGAAATGATGATATTTCTTAGGTCTGCCACTAGATCCGATTATACATTGTGTTAATAAAGAAGCACATATATTACTGTATCGGTTATGTATTACTGTGTAATCACCCCAAAATTTAAGGGCTTAAAACAATACCCCATGATTCTGTGGATCCATATTTGGGTTGTACTCAGCTGGGCAGTTCGTATAGACTTCCCTGGGTTTGCTCATGTGGCTGCCATCACCTGGCAGCTCAGCTGAGCCAAATAGTCTCACTCCCATGTGTGGCAGCTGGTGCTGACTATGGCCTGGGCTGCGTGGCTCCAGCAGGCTAGCCCGAGCTTCTTCATATGGTGGCAGTGTCCCAAGAGAGAAAGGACGAGAGCTGCAGGGCCTCCTGAGTCCAACTCTCAGAAGTCCCACATCACTTCCACTGCAGTCTGCGTGTCAAAGCAAGTCAGAGGCCAGTTCAGAGCTGGGTTTGAGAGGAGACTCCACAGAGAGTGACCAGAGGGAAGTGTGACTAATTGAGGGCCATTACTATAATTACCTACCTGATTACCATGTCATAATCTTTTAAAATATTATAATCAGTCTCCTTTGTAATCCTGTCTTTTATGCTGTAAGGGAGGAAAATTTCCTTCCACCCTCATAGGTTCTGTGACTGGCCGAAGAATTAAACTGACATAAGAGAGATTAACACGAAAAAAGCATACAAATTTATTTAGTTTTTTTTATGTGGCCACAGGAGTCTTCGGAAGGAAAATGAGGACCCAAAGAAGACGTTAGGCCCAAAAGCTTAAATACCTTTTTATACAAAGAACAATAAACTGTGGGGATGTGACAAGATGTGATAAATTGGGCTGGGGCAGTAGATTGTGGGACAGTAAATTGTGGGACAGTGCCTAGGAAATATATGGGGAAATTAATGGAAGATCAGGGTTATTTCAGTAGATCTGTTTATACAAGTCCGTTTTAGCGTCAACTCTCAGTCTGGTGATAAGAATGTTCTATTTCTGGTGCAAGGAGGGCACCTTTCTCATGGGAAATGTTGTGTCCTGCTTTTAGGGAGAAAGCGGGGAGTCACAGAGCCCTTCCTGCACATGCTGTTTCTCAGTGTCTTCAGCTCGAAATAGTCAATATGCCAAAGTGACAATTTTGGGGTGGCATGCTCTGAACCCTTTCACTGCCCTTTAAAATATTATTCTAAGACATCCATCAGCTTTACCATGTTATTGAAGAGGGCCATGGCACAAATGAAGTTAAGAACCCCTGATCTGGAGGCAGGGGGTTTGGGAACGGGGGTGCAGAAGGCTCAGGCAGGAGCAAGCTAGCAAGGCCACCATGGTGGGGGGACAGGAGGAAAGCTGCTCTGTCTGGAGCCAAGTGACTGAGTGCAGAGTGCTGGACGGAGGCAGGGTCAGACCACGTGGGTTTTTGGGAAGGTTTTGAAACTTGTAGAGGAACCCCCCAGAGTATGGGGAGTTGATATTGTATGCATACTAATCTATAATTTTCTTTTATATTTCATAATGTATTTTGATTATCTTTCCATTTTAGTACATAAAGCTCCTCATTTTTTTTTAAATGAGCAACATTATTTTATTTATTTATTTTTCTTCTTCTTCTCCCCAAAGCCCCCTGGTATATTGTATATTCTAGCTGTAAGTCCTTCTATTTCTGCTATGTGCGATGCCGCCGCAGCACGGCTTGATGAGTGGTGTGTAGGTCCGCGCCCAGGATCCGAACTGGTGAAACTCTGGGCTGCCAAAACGGAGCGTGTGAACTTAACCACTCGGCCACAGGGCTGGCCCCTCATTTTTAAAAAAAATTTTATAATGCTCCCTTCAGTGGATGCATGATAATTTATTTCATTGTTCCCCTGGTAGCAAACATTTAGACTGTTTCCAATTCTTTGTGTACATATACATGGATTTAATTTTCTTTTTTCTTTACCTCTATGAAAATATACTGAAGCCTGATTTTTAGATGGAGAACTGCTAGATCACGTGTATGTGTTTTTAAGGTTTTGACAGATATCACTAAATTGCCATTCAAAAACAGGTGGGACTGACCAATACCCCATGAGGTGTTTTTGTTATTATTTTTAACTACCAAGACTGTATCTACGCTTCATAAAATCTAGAATGAGAAAGTTTTGTACTGACTGTTTGTCCTGTTGTTTCAGAACAATGAGATGGTGGAGCTACAGAGAATACGGATGAAGGATGAAATCCGGGAATATAAATTCCGAGAGGCCCGCCTCCTGCAGGACTACACGGAGCTGGAGGAAGAAAATATCACGCTGCAGAAACTCGTGTCCACGTTAAAGCAGAACCAGGTAAGACTTGGGAAGTTTTTTGGTCACGCTTCAGATGGATCCACATCTTCTGACCACTAAGGTTAAATCTGCTCTTTATTTCTCAGGACAAAATCTGTTGAAATTGGCCTTAATCTCCCTACGATATTTATGTGCTAAAATTTCCCAGCCTTCCTATTTCAGCTAAAATTTAGCAGGCCAACCTAGAAGGAGGATAATTTAAAATGCAGCTGCATTGGATAAGAAGAATTTTAGTTTGTACTTTATGAACTCTATGTTCATTTATTTCCGGACTAAGTCAAATGTGTTGTAATCAGTTTGACCTAACGACTTCGCATTGAAAACCTGGACTGTAAGTTTGTAAAACGAGCTTAAGATCTCGTTGTAATCACTTCTTTCTCTCTCTCTCTCTGTCAATTGCTTTCTTTCTCTGTAAATCTCTTTCACACAGGGAAAGAGATTCTGAATTGTAAATCGATAGGAACAAAATTATAAGGAAAAGAAAACGCCTGATTTCTTTTTTCAGCTTTAACCTGACTGAAAAGCTGTCATGTGTGCATTTAAATAATTTATTTTGGTAGTCATTGCTTAATTCTCCTGGTCAGTTTGCATTGTGGTTTGTTATAGTTATTCGTAAAAGCATTCTTGAATCTGTAATTTTAGAAGAATTTGTTTATGAATACGAGTCTATCGAGTAGTTAAGCAAAGGTGACTTGGATGTTCAAGGTCTTTTCAAGGTGCTTCCTCAGCCACAACCTCTGTTCTGATCTAAACGCTGTCACAACCTCTCAGGTCAGGTCAACAAACTGCGTTGGGCACCATGCTAGGCTGGGGAGATACAAGAGTCTATAGGGTAGGAGTCTTGCCCTCAGCCAACTTAGAGGCCAGCCCAGATGTACGCTTCTACTTCTCCTCCCTTCCTAAGCTGGTATCTATCCAAAACTATTAATTGATTTTGATAGACATAAAGGTTAAAAGGGGAAAGGAAAAATCCAGGAAAAAAAATATCCATGTGTTGACACAATTGAAATCTGATTTCTGATCATTGCCACTTCCACCCAGCTTTAGAGTATTGGGGGAACAAGATGTCTGTTAAGGAGTACAGGGGGTGGTTTCAGATCATCATTAAAAAAGGGTTACTAGGGGCCGGCCCCGTGGCCAAGTGGTTAAGTTCATGCGCTCCACTTTGGCAGCCCAGGGTTTCACCGGTTCAGATCCTGGGTGCGGACATAATACCACTCATCAGGCCATGCTGAGGCAGCATGCCACAACTAGAAGGACCTACAACTAAAAATATATAACTGTGTACCAGGGGGCTTTGGGAAGAAAAAGGAAAAATAAAATCTTTCAAAAAAGAAAGGGTTACTAGGATATCCCCTGTGTTTTTCTCATTCCTTCCCCTTCTATCACTGAATCACCAAGTGTGTGCTGAAGCTGGCCGCACCCTGGGCATTCCAGTCTTGATTTGGCTGGGGTCAGCGAACTCACAGTGGAGAAAATGAGACTTAGAAGAATTTTTTTTTTTAAATATACTTCTCAGAAACTTCTTAAAATAAGGAGTCTTTTTTGTTGTTTGTTTTTTTGGTTGCTGATGAAGAATGTAGAGGTGAAATTGAAGCAAATTTACTTGAAGTGCAAATGTTTAAAGTGGTCCCTGATTCCTACATGTCCTCTCTGCTCTCTGCACCAGCAGGAGTGTGCCCGATCCTCTTGGTGGAATCTGCCATCACTGCCTATCCCTAGTGGTAGACTGATTTACCCAGGAGGTTAATGTAGGCCAGTCTTGAGTTTTCTTGAAAGACTACCAAGGGATCCTGTGAGTGTTCATTAACCCAGACGCCGTTTCTGTGGGAATTTGGGCTATCTGGCTGATTACTGTTTACGGTTCACCCACGCTCTTCCACCGATACCTGAAATGTGGGAATCAAATGCTTAACTCAGAAGTTCCAAAAAAAAAATCCCAAACAAACAGGAAAATGTATACATCCCTTTAATTTTATTCTCTAGATGCAATATGGTAATTTTCCCAATTAAGTGTCTAATTAATTAATTTGAAATCATTTTCCATACAAAGGGCCATTCTGGCTTATTCTCTAACAGATGGGTGCGCTGTAGTGTCACCAGTCTCTCCCAATTAAGGAAATGCTGGATTTTTTTTTTCCTGCTGTTGGCCTTTATTTATAGGAGTTAGCATCCATCATAAACTCTCTTTCTAATTCATGAAGTTTTAAGTATAATATTTTATGTACAAATACCACAGGTTTTTTTCAAAGAGATGATGATGGCTGGCTTTCAGTCTCAAAAATGGTCTGAATGTTGCTTTGTGTGGAAGCTCTCTATACAAATTCTATTCCTCCAGGCTAATTTGATGTTTCTATAAACAGCAAAACTACTAGCATTGTACAATGCCTAGTTCAGAGAACTGGAGGATTCTTTCCTGCTGAAGTTCCATTTTTCTTTTGAGTATTTATTGATTATTTTCTAAATAAATGTTGTTTAAATAGCACTTCTTACTCCCTCAATAGTTTCTATATATTCATCTGTTTATTTTCCGTTTCCCTCCACTGCGATATAGCACCTAGAACAGAGCCTGGCCAATAGAAGGCATTAAATAAATATTTGTTGAAAGAATAAATAAACTGCTTTTTCTTTCTCTTACATCCACTCTTCAACTTAGAGAGGAAACTAAAATTTAAGATGTTTATTGTTCACCAAAATAATTTTTATTGATGATCCTAAATATGACGTATATGGGAACATCGAAGAGTTGACTCTGAAAACTTTTGCCACATCCTTCTGTGTGCTGATTTGGTTCTGTGTCCAAAATAAAATCAAGTCCAACCTTATAAGTACATTTTATATCTGTATACTTTTGAAAACCAAAATGTCTGAAAGAAGTGTAGGAAGAAGCAGCAGCCATAAAGAGAGGTCAAGTGGACTGTCGATTCCCCAAGAGATCACCGGAAAATCCACTGGTGGAGTAAGGCTGTTTGTTAGACCCATCGCAGTAAGAGACCCTCGGCAGAGCCTTGGTAATGGGAGATTGAGGGGAAGAGTGGTCATAGGATTTTAGGATCTGGACTGGGTTTTGTATGATGGGAAACTGATGGGGATAGACTGAGTTTATGACGTAATAGCTTTGAGTTGGGAAGTATAACAAAGTGAGGGTCTTCATTTGAATCTTGAAGCAGCTCTTTTAGTTGGGTCTCATCTTCCAGGAGCAAGTATTTCCCACAAACAGCTAAGTTTTTTATGCCTTATCCTAGTATTGGTTAACACAGGGGCAGGAAAATTTGCCTGGTCCCCGTATTACTTAACATAGGGCAGGAAATTATGTTAGTTTCAATTTTTAGAGATGTGATGGAGGGAGGAGGGGAGAAATAATAAATTCCATGTCCCTACTATCTCACGTGTTGAACTAAAGCACTCAATGTTATCTAAGCATTGAAAACCCTTGTTAAAATTAATTCAATCATATTTCTGTTATAAAGAACATTTCCTTCAGGGATATATTTCTATATCAGGTGATAATATCATAAGAGACCTAGGGAACACAGTCAATTTAGTTTGATTTGATTTAAACAGTATTTCAAGGATATCATTCTATGAGGCCACGTACCTTTTTAAGGACAAAAAGACGTGGTCACTGGCTCAAAGAGCTTATAGTCCCAGTAGAGAAGGCAGGTAATAAACTCATAGCCATCATGTGATTGTATATGAAAGCTGTGTGTTAGGTTTGGCAATACAGGGCCAGGTTAAGGTCTTTAGAGTTCCTAAACTCTGAAAAGATTATGGTACCTATCCCCAACCCTCACGTAGTTAAAAATAAAAAGATTTACTAAACTTTGAAGTTACTATAAGGAATTCCAACAAAATACTGATTTTTCTCGTGGTGACTACTTTGATGTTGTCTTTAAAATATCAAACACTAATTTCTAAGTGCCTTATCATTCTGTGTCTTGGTGCCTTCGCTTTGCTGGAGCTCTAATCATATAATGCAGCCTTACAGTGATGGCACCAGAAAGGAGGGATCTGTTGGCCTGAGTGGGTCAACAAAGATTTTGGAGTTAGGAGTGGATTCTTGACTTGGGACTTAAAGGATGAATGAGTTTTCCAGATGACAGCCTTTGCCTGGACAAAGAAACACAAAACAGCTGGGTGAATATTGGGAGCTTGAACCACATTGGCTCGAGTGGAGTGAGTGAAGCTGCCCAGACAGAAAGAGATCAGGTCTTACAGGAAGTCTACCATCAATTAAATAGGAATGACATAATTTAAAAATCTATAATGCAAACTAAATTAATGTCTTTGAGTCTAGCCCAGGAGTCAGCAAACTTTTTCTATAAAGGGCCAGATAATTAATATGTTAGGTTTTGCAGGCCTAACATATGTCTAACAGTGTCTCATCCAATTACTCCACTCTGCTGTTGTAGTGTGAAAAGCAGCCATAAGGGCTGGCTCTGCGGCCGAGTGGTGAAGTTCACAGGCTCTGCTTCGGTGGCCCACGGTTTTGCCAGTTGGAATCCTGGGCACAGACATGGCACCTCTCATCAAGCCATGCTGAGGCGGCATCCCACATGCCACAACTAGAAGGACCCACAACTAAAAATACACAACTATGTACCGGGGGGCTTTGGGGAGAAAAAGGAAAAATAAAATCTTAAAAAAAAAAAAAAGAAAAGCAGCCATAGACAATACATAAACAACATAGTGTGACTGTTCCAATAAAACTTTATTTACAAAAATGGGTCACGGGTTGGATTTGGTCCAGAAGCACAGTAATCTTTGATAATCCCTGGTCTAATCTATCCGTTTAACAGGGATTACAGAATAACAGGTCTGCAATGCAAACTAACTAAATGTCTGCAAATGTAAGCTATCTCATAATCTGGGGGCAGTCAGAGGATTGGTTGAAATACTAGGAAAGGCTGGCAAGTGGGTGTCCTGAGTTGTCTAGGGAAAGAAAAGGAGAAGATCAGGAGCAAGATGACTTTACAGTATATATGCAGGCCTCGAGGAAACTATGACACAAGGACACAGACTCTGTTAACCCAAGCGATTTCCGTGATTTGACTCTTTTGACTGATTCTGTCTTGGACATGTGAAATTCCAGTGATCTTGTATAGCATTGAGTGCTGGTTGTCCATCAGATATCCATTGTTCCCTCCTCCCACTGTGTTACCCAATTTTTAACTGGAAACAAAGCTACCCAGAGTAAAGGTTAGATTCTTCACCTCACTTGTAGGTGAGTGTCATATGACTAGTACTGGCCAGTGGCAATGAGGAGAAGAGATAGGGGCCACTTTTGAGGCATGTCCTTAAAAGGAGAGGATGTGCCCCTTACTTTGTCCCACTGCTTTAAACATGATCAAGATGGCAAGCTGCCCTGGATCATGTGGACCAGAGTAGGAGGCAGTGTAATAAGATAACAGGAGCCTGGTTCCTGGATGACCTTATGGAGCAAACATTCCCTACTGGCCCTTGACTGTCTACCTCCATATTGTTACCTGACAGAGAAACAAACTTCTGTCTCGACTGAGTCACTCTTATTTAGGTCTCTGTTCCGTCAGCCAAACCTACATCCTAACTAAACCTCTGTCAAAAACTGTTTTCCTAACCTTTGCAAGATAACCCATTGCACTCAGATTATGTGAAGGAGGAAGGGGATAGAAATATATGAATATATGAAAATGATAATGTCTGTGATCCCTATTCTTTAATTTTTAAAATTTTTCTTAAAATACAAGTTTCAATTAATATAAATACTAAAAAAATTTAAAACTAAAAACGTAGTTTGTATTAGTATCTAATACCATGGTGACGTTATTATATTACTTTTTATCGGTTTTATTTTTTTTATTATATTCTCTTTTTGTGTCGGTTTAGAGTAGAGATCTCTTTCCCTGTGGAATTTCATGACCAAGAGGGTGTTTGAGCAGGCTCTTAACTTGATTATAATTTAAAAGAATATTATATTAATAACAATATATATGTATTTTTTGTTATTGGATAATGGGTACTCTTATTCCTGATTCTATCCTTAAGCATATAAACTTTTTCTTTGCTTCCTCATCTTACTCTCAAACATATTTTGAGATTATGTTCTTATTGTCATCCTTTAACTAATTTATCTCTGGGTATAAAAATTTTCTCATTATTAATCATTAAATAAAACAAGGTAACAGGGATGATAAAATCTTTTCCCGGATTGTGAATATTCTGAGAAACTATTAAAAAAAAATATTCCTGGGGCCAGCCCCGTGGCTGAGTGGTTGAGTTTGCATATATATATATGCCTGATTTATTAGGCAAACGGTGCTCCCTTTTGACCATTGGGCCCCATAAAAGATATCCTAAGACAGTGGTACCTTTTCCAATTTCTGCTAAGAATTGAATGTTATATAATTTTACATGTAACATTTATATTATAACATATAATTGTATAATTATATATTATATATATAATTTCTAAGAAACTGTCCTATGTTATACTGTGTGCTTTTTATGGTTTATTTTGTAGACTAATGTTCTAATTTTTTTAAATGATTAGGTCCACTAGAGTGTTTAATGGCAGTTTTGTAAGACCCAAATTTTAGTTTTATGAATCTTCTTTATCCTACCTAATTCAGGTTGAATATGAAGGCTTAAAGCATGAGATTAAGCGATTTGAGGAGGAGACAGTGCTGCTGAATAGCCAGCTGGAAGATGCCATCCGGTTAAAAGAGATTGCTGAGCATCAACTGGAAGAAGCCCTGGAGACCTTGAAAAATGAAAGGGAACAGAAGAACAACCTGCGGAAGGAGCTGTCCCAGTACATCACCCTCAATGACAACCATATCAGCATCTCGGTAGACGGACTCAAGTTCGCCGAGGATGGGAGTGAACCAAACAATGATGACAAAATGAACGGGCACATCCATGGGCCCCTTGTGAAACTGAATGGAGACTATCGGACTCCCACGTTAAGGAAAGGAGAGTCTCTACACCCTGTTTCTGACTTATTCAGTGAGCTGAACATTTCAGAAATACAGAAATTGAAGCAGCAGCTTATGCAGGTAAGAACTCTGTTTAAGGCCGTGAGAGTGAATTTTTTGTAGATTGTGTGTAGCCTGTTGTACGATTTCTCATTCTCACATTTTCGTTCCAGATTATTTTTTTAAATATTACTTCTTCAGCTAGCAACTTTGAAAGTGCAATATTTTAGAAAGACACAACAGAAGAGGTGTTGAAGAGAAATCTCTCATTTGCATTGCTTTAAGAAATTTATCTTACAGTCACAAATTAGATTGTAATCAGGTGTGAAGGGAGACAAGCCAGCATCTTGATGCATTTCTAACAAAAGAATTCAAAGCTTTATGTACAAGTGAAATGACAAAATATGAAGTTTTCCATCACAAGCATCTGCATATAGCTTCAGGATTAATGGATACACTTCACGGCAATACTTTAAGCTTTAAAAAATATGACGGCGTTTCTATAGACAAACTACTGGATATCAGTGCTTAAAACACAAAACAGGTCTAAATGTGAAACCAAGGAGTTCTTTTTCCAACATGACTAGGCCGTAAATTTTTAGCATCCTCACGTCAAAAGTTTTGTGAAGAGTCCTGGCCTTTAAGCTTACCTCACTGTAAAATGACTTTCCAGTTTAGTCTTGCCTCCCTGCCATACCTTAATCCAGTGCTAATGGAAATGTTGTCGGAGCCCATCACCATCACCTCAGGGGCTCCTTAGTCCTATGCATTGTTAGGCTCCACACAGATCTACTGAGCCAGGAATCTGGTTCAACAAGCTTCTCGGGTTAATTAAGTTTGAGGCTTATTCTTCAGTCTGTTATCCCTCCAAGGTTCTTTGTGCATAGCTGATAATTAGAGGCTGTAAGACTCTGGCAGTCATTTATTTTTATAGCAAACAGGGCTTATCTATTTCTGCCTCTACAGAAATGATGACAGAACAATGAAATTAGCAGAAATCAACAAGAGACTAGAGAACCAGTGAAGTTAATTTATGATTAGGTTTATTTTTAATACTACATCAAGAGTTAGGGGCTGCCCCAGTGGCGTAGTGGTTAAGTTTTCATGTTTTGCTGGCCCAGGGTTCATAGGTTCAGATCCCGGGCATGGACCTACACACCACTCATCAAGCCATGCTGTGGTGGCATCCCACAAACAAAATAGAGGAAGGTTGGCACAGATGTTAGCTCAGGACCAATCTTTCCGACCAAAAATGTAAAAGAGTTAATGTATCCTGCACTTCACCTGCCTGATGCTTTTGGCTACTAAAAGAGAATTCATGAGAATTTGTTTTCACAATGTTTAATTTGAATCAAGATAAGAAGGCATGACCACTGGAAGAAAATGAATTTCATATAGACTTTTACCTGATTGCAAAGTGCAGTTCTGTGTAGGTAATAGTTTTCTATGTCTTTTTTGCTCAGTTTACACTAAGACAACTAGGTCGGTAGAAAACATATTTCCTTGTGAAAAAATTTTACATGACAGGTATATTTATCTGAATTTTTGCCCCCAAATTAAATAGAATTAATATAAAATTTTTCTTAAACTGTTACATTGGTGGCTTTAGGTTAAAAAATTAGTGGGTTGAAGCTTTCTGTTTGTTTTTATTTTGGTGGCAGTGTAGAAGATATTAGGAAGAAGAGCTGCTATGCGTAAAATAGTTCAACAGTTTTCAACCAGGTCACCTAGTGGTTGAACACTCAGAGCTGTTCTCAGCTTTAATCCTAAACGTAATCTGAGCTAGCTAACACAAAAGTCCAAAAGAGATGAGTAGTTTAATTAAAAGAATGGTGGAGAACAAGGTCTCAGCAAGAGAGTGGTTCTCAATGGGAGTGTCCTTTGCATTTGGGGTGGGACAATTCCTCTTTGTCTGAGACTGTCTGGTGAGCTACAAGAGGTTTAGCATCTCTAGTCCCAACCCATTAAATGCTGGTTACATCTCCTCAGTAGATGCGATGACCAAAAATGCCCCCATGCATTTCAAATGCTCCAAGGGTCAACCACTAGTCGACAATCATTCTTAGAGGGACAGCACTTTACTGTCCCATAAAATGGGGATGCATAATACCTTCCTAGAGTGCCATGAAGGTTTATGAGTTAATGTATGTAATGTGCTTGTAACAGGGCCGGACACACAGTAAATGCCCAATAATTGTGAACTATTATCACTATTTCAACTCTATAGTGTCTTTGATTGACTAAGCACTCAATTTATTTAGGTTTTGTTAATATTATTAACTGTTGCTGTTGGACGATTAACTCAAGCATAGTCATCTCAGAAGGAAGTAATGTGGTCGCTGGTAGGAATACAGAAGGGTAACAGTTAAGTCTCAGGGTGTGAGAAGGTCTGAAAAGGGATGTTCATTTAGGAAAAAGAGTGAGAAAAATTTGGCTGGATAAACCCTCCTTCAGTAGGCCAGAAAGCTGTGTACCTTCAAATCTTTCATCAGTGCTTAATTAATGTAGACAATTTGTAAAGATGTAGACAATTTGTAAAAGGGGTACTAGGGCCTTAGATCCTAAGGTTTGCCCCAGATTTAGTTGTGAAAACCAGGCTCAACACAGGAAGGGCTTTGCAGCTTCCAGCCTCACACCAAGAACACTAACTTCTAATTTTGTTTTAGGCAAAGTTACTGTCTATCTTCTCATAATCAGCATTTTTTAAAAACATATCCACTTTTTCTAAGAATATATTTTGTTCAAACTGTTGAGTACAAGTATAGCAGAGTATGTCTTCTCATGCAGAATTTCCTTATAATCTTTCTCCTTTGTAGGTGAGGAAGACATTTCCTCTGCCGACTCTAGGTCCTTCTGGCTGAGATACGAATTAAATTCACATGAGACAGAATAACAGGAGAAAATCAAACAAAGCTTTATAACATGTATACATGGGAGAGACTCAGGAAAACTGAGCAACTCACCAAAATTGCAGAGGTTCTCATCTGAAATACCATCTTCAGCTACAAAGGAGGATGTTGGGGGTGGGAGGAGTCAGTTATGGGAGATTACCAGAAAAGTACAATAAACAAGAGTAAGGTTATTATGCAGATTTAAGTCCTTGCCTTCCCCATTGATAAGAGTTTCTAGAGATAATGTCATCCCCCCTTCTTCCTGGTACAGAGAGGGAGACACCTTTACAGATGGAGATTTCCCTGACAAATGTAAATGTCTCTTACAAAGGGTAACTAGTACTTTTCAGAGTTTCTCTCATGTCTGCAGTTTTTAAAAGTAACCAGCCCAAAATAATCCTCATGCCAGAGAGACATATCTTGGGGTGGCCAATTCCAATCCCCCACACCTTAGTTATGCATCCCCTTGGGCAGAATTTAGATAAATAAACAAACTATAAAAACATTAGAGGAGGGGCTGGCCCCATGGCCGAGTGGTTAAGTTTGCGTGCTCCGCTGCAGGCAGCCCAGTGTTTCGTTGGTTCAAACCCTGGGCGCGGACATGGCACTGCTCATCAAACCACGCTGAGGCAGCGCCCCACATACCACAACTAGAAGGACCCACAACGAAGAATATACAACTATGTACTGGGGAGCTTTGGGGAGAAAAAGGAAAAAAAATAAAATAAAATCTTTAAAAAGAAAAAACATTAGAGGATACATTGCCTAGAAATTATTGCAGTTGCCTTTGATGTTAATGAGGCTTGAAAATAATATGGCAGTTCTATAAGCAACAGTACTTACGTACCTTGCAGCACATACTGTGTGTCAGTACACTGTTCTGGACCTTCTGAGGAGGAGGCAAGAAAACGCACTTTAAGTATGGCCATCTGAAATGCATGGGGCCAGAGGTGTTTTGAAATTAAATATTCAGAATGTAGAAAGGTAATATGCAGCATATACCATATACATTGTGATATCCCCAATGGCGTCAGGTACAGAACTGAAAGACCAACTAATAGTTACATTTCTGTAGTAAAACATGTGAGTGTTCCCACTAAGAGGAAAAAATGAGACCATAAAAGGCCTCACTCACATCAGTCAGGTGCAATTTTGCTGCTCAGGGAGTTTAGGACTGTCTGAATATGATAAAACTTCTATTTAGAGCCTCTCTGGATTTCAAAATTGTAGCTGTCATAGGCATAGCAATTGCTGTACTATTCAGGTTAGAACATCAGCATACTTTGGATGTGACAGTTTCTGTTTTTATAGTGCCCTTGTCTCTTAGGATTTCTTTTGGCCACGGTCCAAAGCCCTGCATCTGTGAGAGAGCTGTGTGCCTTCAAATCCAGCATCTGCCCTCGGTTAATGTGGACAGTTTGTGAAGATGTGGAGGGGCACAGGCCGTGACATAACACCCTATACCAGGGAATATGCAGCCTTTAAGATCTGTCTTAGGATTAAAGAAACCCTTTGAAAACAATATACCTGGGCCAAAGCCTATTGGCCTTTTCTTGTCGTACAAGGCTCCATCTGTGCATGTACATTATGTTTTCCCATCTATGGGTATTTACTTAACATAGTTCTGAAAAGAAAATGAAAATATACATTTCTTCCTTGAGTATCAGGAATGCTGGATGAGTTGCTTCACTTCTTGGAGGCGCACTCATAAAAGGAAAGGTACTAAATTACCCCCATCACTAGTCTCCAGGATGCCCTTGTTGGAATTAGAAAAATAAGATAGGTCCTCTTCCTCAAGATATCACACTGCCACCTGCTGGGAAATGGGAATAAGAAATGTAAAAGTCTACAATGACTACAATTTAAATAGTACCTCCTGGAATTTCTCAAAAAATGAAAAATGAAATACCATGTGACCCAGCCATCCCACTATTGGGTAGCTATCCAAAGAACTTGAAATCAGCAATTCCAAGAGACTTATGCGCCCCTACGTTCATTGCAGCATTATTCACAATAGCCAAGGCATGGAAGCAACCTAAGTGCCCATTGACTGATGACTGGATAAAGAAGATATGGCATATATATAAAAATACGCACACACACGCGCGCGCGCACACACACACACACACACACACAGTGGAATACTACTCAGCCATAAAAAATGACAAAATCGTCCCATTCACAACAACA